TCCATAGAAAGAGTAGAGATGGAGTCCCAAAAAGGGCTGAGAAAAAAATAATAGTTTTCCTAGATAATGAAAAAGCATATGACGTGTTATCGAGAGAGGGCATATAGCATACAACATCATCCCTGGGCCTCAAAGGAAGAATATAGAGGTGGATAAAGGACTTTTTAAGTTAAAGAAATATGCATGTCAGAGTAGAAAAAGCCATAGAAAGAGTAGAGATGGAGTCCCAAAAAGGGCTGAGAAAAAAATAATAGTTTTCCTAGATAATGAAAAAGCATATGACGTGTTATCGAGAGAGGGCATATAGCATACAACATCATCCCTGGGCCTCAAAGGAAGAATATAGAGGTGGATAAAGGACTTTTTAAGTTAAAGAAATATGCATGTCAGAGTAGAAAAAGCCTACATCAGTACGTATATAATTGTAAATGGCAGTCTGCAGGGGAGTGTTATCAGCCATACCTTAATCAACGTAATGATAAATGATCCCCCAAAAAAGATCAGAGCAGAATTAGGCATATCCTGGTTTTCAGATGATCATGCCATCAAGGCTGAAACCAGAAATAGATGTGAAACAAATTAATGAAGTACTTAGGAAAAGTGCTGAATGAAGAAATGAGGGGCTTTGAACTTTCAGTTCTCAAAATGAAAGGAATGATAGTCACTGGAAGGAAAATTAAAGAGATGAATTGTCTCTGTATGAACAACAAATAGGTATAGTTAAAAGCTACAAATTCCTTGGTGTGACATTTAATAGCAAACTAACCTGAATGGATCACATTAAAATCATAGAATCCTAGGGCTGGAAGAGACCTCAGGAGGTCATTGAGTCCAGCCCCCTGCCCAAAACAGGACCACCCAAATATTGTAGAGAAATGTAAAGGTAAACTCAGTTAACTTAAAAAGCATTTCTGAACCCATCTGGGAGCATAAAAGAAAGCAATGGCAATGTGTTGCAGAGCATTAATAAAACCAAACACTGAGTATGGATGACAACTGTTTAGTTCAGCATTTAAAAACAAACCTAAAGAAGCTAGACTCAATCCAAGCTCATGCATTATGCATTGCACGTGGTGCCTTCATCACAACACTATTGTGTGTAATGCAGACAGCTGCTGGTGAAATGCTTATGGCATTAAGATTGAAGTTATTGCACTTAACTTTTGGGCAAAAGTTATAGGAAGCAGGAAAGTATATCTGCAGAATAATGGGAATTCAGTGGATAACACGGAGGGAGACCCCTAAGTGCTTCATGTTAACAAGACTGAAGTGTAGACAAAAGAATGAAGAGAAAAAAAAAATCTAAAAGAAATGCCTATATATAGGGCTCCATGTTTACTTTCTCTGACTTTCCAATGGCCAGTGTGACTGATCCCAGGGCAACCTAAGCAGCTGAATCAAAGACCTACAGTCCAAGAGCTGTGCATTATTGTAGACTCTTAATGGCAGAAGACCAGCTCCTCAGCTGGTATAAATTAATATAGCACCAGTGACTTGTACCAGCTCTGTGCCAATTTGCACCAGCTGAGGACTTGCCTGTAGTCTGAACTGAACATCCTGGGCAGAATCCTAACTTCGAGGAAGTTAATGGCAAAATTCCCATTGACTTAAATGAGTCCGGATCAGGCCTTTTTTTGGCCTTGTGGGATAGTTGAAAACTATCATTTAAAAAGCTGCACAGACACTGTCTTATAGAGCAAATCTTAATTTTATGAACTCAAACGGTGCCAATTCCATGACTGTGATATTTATGTAAAACTAGAACAGACAAGGCACTAGAAGATGAACTGAAGGAAATAATTATACATTGGCTGAGGGAAATCGATTAATGACTTTGCTGGTACAGAACTACCTATAGAAAGGACTCTAGCTGGCTTCTGTATAGATCATAACTATAAATTCATACTGTAATTAACTCTATATGTGTACATGTACAATTCCCCCCGCTAGGATGAATCTAAATCCTTTAGCTGTGTGTCATAGGCTCTCCCTTAATAACTAATGGAGATTCTCACTTGGCTCAAGGAGTAGGGGGCCTATTCTTTCAGAATAGGAGGAGCTAAGCTCTGTCCCCACAATGTCTGTGAAATACCAAGTAGCCAGGAATATGTTACAATGATTATAGCACCAGGTAGAACTGAGCCCTTCTGAAAGTGCTGACCTGAGTCTGCATTCCGAAAAGGCTGATTAAATTTGATTTACTTCATTTAATGGTGTGCTCAGAAACCTTGTAATATGATTGTTGGTATCCCTTGAAGAACAACCTGAAATGTTAGCCATTATCTTCCTCATCACCATCACCCACGGCTATCCTCCTCCCAAGGGTTACACCAAAAACACACTCCCTGGGATTTTCATAGAGAAGACAGTGGTATGGATTAGGTAAGCTTGAGCATAGAAATTAGATGAATTTTCCTTGAACTCATTTGCAAGCTCTGTCCACGGTATGTGACCAGACAGGCTTGCGTTTCTGAATAAAGGCCTCTATTCCCTCTTGTCCATCCTTCAGGGTTAGATTGTCCACCATGATCTGTGAGGTCATTCTGTAGGCAGCATCAAGGTCCAGAGCCATCTGTCTGTAAAAGGTGGCTTTCCCCAGTGCCACAACAGACCTGCTGGTTTCACATATTTTGCATGCAATTTTCATGGTCTCCTCTTCCAGCTTGTCTTCTGGTACCACCCGGCTGAGAAGTCCATGCAGCAAAGCATCATGGGCAGAAATAGGCTCTCCTGTGAACAGCATCTCTAATGCAACCTGTACAGTGCAAAAAAAAAAACAAAAAACAAAAAACAAAAAATCATACTGAGCCAATTCAACTTGCTTTGATTTCTGTCAGCAATTAAAATTGAGACATAAGGCCCAATCTTGCACTCCCTGAAGTAATCAGCAAATTTTTAATGGGCTTCAATAGGAGCAGGCTTGAGTCCAGAGATGAAAATGTTTCAAAAATACTTGCAGATTTTAGATGCCAACTTGGGTCACAAGAACTGAATCCCTGTGATTCCAATGGAAGCTAAAAAGAGCGGAGGGTGCTCAGTGTTTTCTAAAATATAGGCCCACTTTGGTACTTTAAATTAGGCACATACAATATAAAAATGAAGGCATGCCAGACTGGTGGGTAGTTTTTGAAAATGTCCTTAGTTTGGTTTGGCGTGTGTGTTTTTAATTAGGTTTCCTGTTGCCCATGTTAGATCACAGCTACATCTGTTTCCGTATCCTGCTTCCTGCAGTGACCTGTGCCTAATGCGTCAAATGAAGGGAGAAAAAAAAATCCATGATGTATTTGGCTAACGGTACAGTGCTAAATATATAGGGAGAAAAATGCCTTGCTGACCATAAAGGCAATCATGATTCAGGGTAATTACCCATGTTATCATCTTTACTTCAGTAACTACAAATATAAGTATCATGGCCATATTTCATTTAATAAGATGAAAAACTAGAAATCTGAATAGTTGCAACAAGAGTGCTTGTTTATCTGATATGGGGGCACTTGCACATGGAAAAATATAACATCATTTAAACATGGATTGTGCATTTTATATTGTACAATCAGAAACACTGGAAGGATGATTCAGGAACACCTGTAGTATCAAACCATTTTAAATCACTCAATAAATAATGGACTAGATTTACAGATGATGGCATCAGAGCCAGGAAGTTAGGGGTTAAGGTTCCTTGCCTGCACAAGAGAACTGCTTGTACTTGAGCAGAGCCGCAATGACATAGCAGGGATGTTAGCTTCTGTCCCAGTATGAGGACTGGGACATAAGACTGCATGTGTTAAACAAAGCTTTGTGCAGTGCACTGTATTCCTTATGTAGTGAGGAAAGATATGGGAAGGAGATAACGAGGGTCAGAGCTGTGATTTAAAACAGAGCTAGGCAGATCATGCTGTCAATGAAATGTCAGTGCATGGCAGGAATGGACACCTAACGGCACTGGTATCCTGAGCTTGGAAGGGTCTCTCAGCAGGGGGAAGGCATCACTGGACAAAAGGAAAGAATTTACTGGTGGGAGGGAGAAGAGCCTCTACTGATCTACTGCCGCTATGGGGATCTGGGGGTTGGGATCAGCAGAGCAGTTGTCCTGGAATACAGGTCACTTCTGCCCTATTCTTGGACTGCCCCACCTCCCTTAGTCCTATTTTTTTTAAAAGTTGCTCTTAGTAATGGAATGTTTTGCACTGCCAAGTGCTGAGGGAGGGAGTTGCACACATCGGAGCTAGAGCATGTAAAAACGGGATCTGCTTTCAGGAAACTAGAGAGAACAGTTCTCTCTTGAGCAAGGCCTACCTTTCTAGGAAGGGCTCTCCCTACGGCCACAGCTGGTGTGGAGCAGAATAGCCCGATGTTGACTCCGGGTGTAGCAAACCTGGATTTCTCACTTGCTACTGCAATGTCACAGCTTGCCACCAGCTGGCAGCCTGCTGCTGTAGCCAAGCCATTTACTTTGGCAATCACTGGTACAGGGAGCTTCTGGAGCAGAGTCATGACCTGTATGTGCAAAAGAAAGGGGTCAGCAGGTCACAGATGAGTAGTTGCAATGTGTTCCCATTATCCATGATGAGTAATACAGATACAACAATTATTTTCACTGATCATTTTTACTATGGCAGCACAGTGTTCCACTGTACTGGGTACTGAACAAACACGCAATAAAAGGCAGTACCTTCCCCAAACAGTACACTGTGCTGGGGGTCAGGACACTTTATACTACTGATCCCCTGGGCAAGTTGCTTATCTTCTCTATGCTTCCTATTTCCTCATCTGTACAATGATACTTACCCATGCTTGAGTTCTACAGATAAAACATGCTATTTACTTGCTAAATGTCATCACGATGGCCCAGATAAAGGACTCACATCAGCACATTGTGACTAGATGACAAATTTCATCTGGTTTCTTTCTTCTTATATGGGAAAATCACTTCTGCTTAATCATATTTTACACTCCTTGGCTGAAAGCTCCAAATTCAGTTTTGCATTAGCTCTGCCTTTATCTGAGTCCTTGTGTTATTTTAAAAAAAATACTAGTCTTCAGCACTTCTTGAGAAATGGAACCCGGCAAAGAATCCGTTTGTGTACAATAATCATATCTGCAGGCACTTTCTTCAAAGTAACCTGTTTTGATTTTTCTTACCATATGTACTTCTATGTGTGTTTAAACGTATTAGGAGATCTATATTTTACTCCAAGCTATATTTGAGTTTGGTGTGGAACAATAATAGTACCTAGCTTCTAAATAGTGCTTTTCATCAGTAGATTTCAAAGTAGGTCAGTATTACTATCCCCATTTTACAGATGGAGAAACTGAGGCAGAGATGAAGTAACCTGCCCAAGGGCACCCAATAGGCCAAGTCAGGACTAAAACCAACATCTCTTAAATCTCTAATGCAGTGCTACATTTACCAGACCACACTGCCTGGGTATGTCACTTAACTTCCCCAGTTTTTCCACAAGCAAGAAGTGGCTATTTAAAATCATACTTCCCTGCCAGATAGGGGTTAAGTGAGATTTGATTTATTACTGCTTTTAAATCCCCTTATGATCCTCAGATGGGGCTATAGAAATATAAGACTTTACTGTAAGAAAAAAAGATCATAGATTTATTTGAGTCCCTGGCATTTCATTTCCTCCTGAATCTTCTTTATCATTTTCATGGTCCCAGGAATATTTATTTGAAGCATGATGCATTATTTGTTCTTTACACTCATGGCTAAATTATTACACTTGTCATACACTAAGGCCCTGATTCTGCAAAAGATGTCTGTGCTGTCTTAACTTTTTTACACTGCAAATAGCTTGCTAATCCTCCTATATTTTTCTTTATTAAATCAAAGCCTAGCTTGCTACATCATGAATCCCAAGAATGAAATATCTGAGCCGTTCTATTCCAATCTGCCTGCTGATTACTGCTGGAACTGCTGATCACTGAAATCCTGCACAAGTTCATGTTGGTAATTATACACACAGGACAGTTTAATTTCCTCTGGTGTTGAAGTGGAAAAACTTGCAAACTCTTGATTCCGCTTTATATGACAATAGACCAGGTTTTATGTTTCTTCAGCTTGATTTTCCCATTTCCATGAACAGTACCTGCTTGCTCAGCTGCCGATGGCCAGTGGGGCAGGACATTGCTCAGATAGGGTTAGGCTCAAAACTTCAACTAGTACAGAGGTAACCAATCCTGATTCAAAGGGTGCACTATACAAAACTGCTGAGCAGGCCTGCAGCAGCACCCTCCTTCCTGACACAGCACCTGTAATCGCAGCTTAGTGCTGAGGGGAGGCTCCAATGGGCAGGAACTGGAGAATGAGACCACCCCCTAACTCACCCCATAGCAGCAGCTGCTGTCCTGCATAGCTGGCTCTATGTCCCCATGCTGGGTGCAGCAAACTGGCACATAGGGTCACAGTGTCACTCAGGTTCAGCCTAGCTGCCACCACCTCATATTTCGTTGTTTTTGGACCCGTGATTTCATGATTTCTGTGGGGGTAGCTGAATCCAGTAACCCACCCTAAAGCCACTCCTGTCTCCAACTGAAAGAGCAAAAGATTGGCCTTCAATTAAACATTTGTCTTGCTCATACTATAAGGCTACATCTACACTGCAGACTTCTTGCGCAAAAACTGTTTTGCGCAAAAACTGTTTTGCGCAAGAGTGCGTCCACACTGCCATGTGCTTTTGCGCAAGAGTTCCCATGGCAGTGTGGATGCTCTCTTGTGCAAGAAAGCTCTAATGGCCATTTTAGCCATAAGGCTTTCTTGCCAAGAAATCTCTGTTGCCTGTCCACACTGCCTTCTTGTGGAAGAGCTCTTGCGCAAGAGGGCTTATTCCTTGTGGGGAGAGGAATAACTCTTGTGCAAAAAACCCTGTTTTCCAATGCTTTTCTGCAAACTTACTTGTGCAAGAACACACGTGCAGTGCAGACATTCTGCAAAAAGCCTGCAGTATAGACGTAGCCTAAAATTAGTATTAAAATAAGGACAACAGGCAAAACTACGGGTGTTATTGATATGTCTAATGAAACCTGGCACTTATATAGCAACTTTCCCATGAGGGTCTCACAGATTTTAACAAATATCAGTAAATGAATCCTGACAACCCTATTGGTTGCAGCTGATCTACTAGGTTTTGGACTAGGTCAACAGATACTAACTGCTGCAAGGTAGATTAGTCGTATTATGCTTATTTAACAGATAAGGAATTGCCTATATTTGCTCAGAGTGTGAGACTCCTGCAGTGATGACACATGGGCAAAAAAAAGATGTAAAGTAAGGAACATTGCACAATTATTCTTAGTTTAGGATACCTACATATCGCAGATACAAGCCTTAAATCATGCATTATCCTTACACTTCTATTTGCATATGGAGAAAAAATGAGAAAAAAACCAAGATCAGAGAGTAAATCACTGGCAGAGTCAGGAGTCCAGAGCACCAAGTGCTATGCTAACCATTAGCCAAGGTGTGGAAAAAAGGCTGCTGAGGAGGAAGGCTTTACATACTGATCCAGGCCCCAGCAAAATCTCTCAGCTTCCACTGGCCAGTCTCTGGCCAATAGGATCTGAGACATTTTGCTCAGGCCAGAGACAGCTGTGAAGCCTTCTCCCTCCCCCTCTTATGCCTGGAGAAGACCCCACGTGGAGCAGCCAGCCAACTGAGACTTCAGCAGAGAGCCTGCCTCCAGTTCCTGCAGGGCTGGTGCCTGGGAGCCGCCTAGGTAAGTTCCTCCCAGCCAGAAACTGCCTATGGCACCTCACCCCCTCTTTCTCCCTAATTACCTGCCCCAGGCAACCACCCAAACCCTCTGTACCCCTTTCCCCCCTTCTCCCAGGTCACAACTCCCTCCCAGACCCTGCACCCCCTCCCCCAGGATAAAATCCTCTCCTGCACCCTTACTCCCTCTTGGACCCTGTACCCCAAGCGGCTGCCCCAGATCACAACCCCTTTCTTCACCCAAACTTCCTCTCAGACCCCCGGCCCCTCCTGTACCCCAGTTCCCTACCCAAACTTCCTTCTGTACCCAATCTCCATCCCAGACCTCACACACTCCATAGAAGTGCAGCTCTTGACAACTTCCCAAAATCTTGGAGTGGCCCCCCATTACAAATTATTGCCTATTTCTGCACTAAACCCTCACATTCTCTACCTTCATAAACTTGTTTCATTGTCCCTGTCAGCTCCTCACTTGTTGCAGTGAATTCACTGAAAATGCCAACATCTCTTCACTGTAACTAATGCAAAGCCACCACTTTGGCTTACCTCAGCACAGGTCTCAAATACGTCTCTGAGGTACTTGGTGTCCTGTTCAAAAGACAATTCCTTTAAATCGTGGCCAGCAGAAAACACAGGTCCTTCAGCTGCAAAGCATTCAACAAAATGAAAGGAAAAAACATTACATGTTGCTAATCTGAAATGAATCTAGCATCTTGGGCTAGTGGCAATTCAGAATGCTCTAAGAGATAGGGGTCTGGCACTGGGGTGTCTGGGGTGGGGAGTTGGCTCTTAGGGGCTCTGGGGGCAGTGCTAGTAGTGCAGCAGCTCTGGGGGCAAGGCTGGCACTCAGGAGCTCTGGGGATGGGGCTAATATTGGAGACTGGAACTGCAGGGTCTCTGAGGAGGTTGGGTGCAGTGGGACTCTGGAAATGAGGCTGGCACTGGGGGTCTGATGGTGGTGGGATTTAAGTGGGGTTGGCATTGAGGTGTTTAGGATGGGGAACTGGCACTGGGGGGCTCTGAGGGCAGGAGGCTGGCCCTGGGGGGGTTGGGTATAGTGCGGGGGGTGAGTGGTGGGGGGGAGGGCTCTAAGGGTTAGGGCTGGCACTGGAGGGCTCCAGGATCAGGGCTTTTGGCAGACTGGCAAAAGTTTATTTGCATATTTATTATTTGTATAATGAATATGTAAATATGCAAATACAATTTTACTGGTGCAGTTGTATGAGCCCCTGATGTTGGGACTTACGTGGTTAGGTCCTATGATGGTGTCGCTTGTATAGGTATGTGGACAGAGTTGGATACGGGGTTTGTTGCAGGGGTAGGTTCTTGGGTGAGTGTAGTGTATCTGAAGTGTGTCATGTGGTTGGTGGCATTTGCTTCAGGTTGGGGGATTGTCTGTAGGTGAGGATTGGCCTCCCAATGCAAACATGTATAATATTTCACAAAATGTTTACTCTTTTTAACTTTGATAATTTAGTACAGAATTTTCAAAAAAATGTCACTTTCCCCCTATTTGCTTCATCCTCTGTTGTGTGGTGCATCTTAGGGCAGCTCATGAGTGTACAGGATCCAGAATTTTTACTGGCATTGCACTTAGATGATGAAACTCATTGCAGCAAGTGATATCAATACCATGGGCCTTCAGAGCTAAATGAAAATTCATCTCTGATTTACCTTTCCCCCTATATATCCTTCACCCACAGAGATATACACATAATCCAATTCTCACTCTCATGCACACAAAACTAAAAGAATTACAAACACAAATCCAGCTATTCTTTTATATTATCCCTGTCACCTTTAGATCTTTATAATGCTTGCATCTTTCCTTTTACAAATAGGGAAACACGGGGACGATGAGGTTAAGAGTACAAAGAAGGCTAGTGGTAGAGCTGGGAATAGAATCTAAATCTCCTAAATCCAAATAAGTGTCCTAGCCACTGAACTTCTGCATAACATATTGTGACATTGATCACAATAGCAACATTAAGCACAAGAGCTTCTGTAATTGCCACGGACATCAACAGGAGTTGTATGAGCTCAGCATTTCTGAACAGTGAAACTCTTAAATGCAATCTGTTATTCTGTCAAAAAGATTCCTATATATAAAACTGAATTTTAAAAGAAAAGAAAAAGTAACAATTGGACTTATGAACCCTTAAAAATATATTGCTTAATGGTCCAAAACACGCAGCTTACAAGAGGGTTTCTGTAGTGTTTGTCACCAGTGTAGTCACCAATGTAGATTTGTATTTGTAATGAGTGAAGAAAAACTTAGTTATTACTATGGGGGCTGCGTCTAGACTGGTATGATTTTGCGCAAATACTTTTAACGGAAAGTTTTTTACATTAAAAGTATTTGCGCAAGAGAGCGTCTACACTGGCACGGATGCTTTTGCACAAAAGACATCTTTTGCGCAAAAGCATCCGTGCCATCTTTTGCGCAAAAGCATCCGTGCCAGTGTAGACGCTCTCTTGCACAAGAAAGCTCTGATGGCCATTTTAGCCATCGGGCTTTCTTGCGCAAGAAATTAATGCTGCTGTCTACACTGGCCCTCTTGCGCAAGAATTCTTGTGCAAGAGGGCTTATACCTGAGAGGGAGCGTCAGAGTATTTGCGCAAGAACCACTGATTTTGTACATTACAAAGTCAGTGTTCTTGCGCAAATACTCGCGGCCAGTGTAGAGAGGCGGTAAGATTTTGCACAAAAGCAACCGCTTTTGAGCAAAATCATGCCAGTCTAGATGCAGCCTAGTCAGTACTTATTATTGCACTGATAGAGAAGACCCAGATCCTGTATGGATTAAAGCATATACTTAGTGTCACACAGGGTAGGTTGTACTCTTTCAAGTGACTTTGAAGGTATTGTGTAAAGTTAAGCATGTATATAGGACTTCTGATTTTAGGTCTTAACCAATAAAACACCCATGATACAAATCAAATAAACACTGGACATAAACACTTGTATCTACACAGATCAGTAATGCAGACTATGAGGGGGAGATTTCTAAAGCCCACTAGGGATGTAAATGGTAACAGGTTAATTGGTAGGCATCACCCTTACTGGGTGATGTTTACTGGAACAGTTAACTGGCAGTCTGGCAGGGGGGCTGCTCTAGCCTGGCTGGGCCCGCCATGCCATGCCATGGGCACTCCAGCTCAGTTGGGCTAGAGTATCTCCCCGCTAGGGATGTAAAATCCCATTTAATTGGTTAACCCGTTAAACTTTGTTTAATGGGTTAACCAATTAAAAAAGGGGTAGACAGGAGAGCCGGTAATAATACCCAGAAGCATGAATTTTCCTCCTGCAAAATTGTTAGGCGCATGCTTGGTGTTAAGTCCACCTAAAGTCTTAAATTAATTTTATTCCTATTAAGCAAGATGCAGATTTCTAGTTAAGCACATGCTTAAGAGCTATGCGGTAATGGGATTAAGCACAAACTTAAAACTACACTCGCTGCTTCTTGCGTGAGATATGCAAATGAGGCTAAGCCTGGAATATTGCTGAGCCTCATTTGCATACCTAATGAGCCACCATTTTTGCAGAAGAGGCTCTTGTGATGTCTACACTGCCCCTTCTTGTGCAAGAAAAGCCCTCTTGCGCAATGAAAATAATCAGCGTAGCGGCATTGCGCAAGAGGGTTTTTCTTGCGCAAGAAGGTGCAGTGTAGACAGCTCCTTCTGGCACAAGAGCCTCTTCTGCAAAAATGGTGGCTCATTAGGTATGCAAATGAGGCTCAGCAATATTCCAGGCTTAGCCTCATTTGCATATCTCACGCAAGAAGCAGCGAGTGTAGACAGATGGTGCATCAGGTCCCTACCAATTACACTGCACTCCTATTATTTTTTTCATGGTGTAGCGTGCACTGGTGTAACACTGAACAGAGCTGGCTACAATTTTTTCAACAAATAGTTTTTATCACCCACAAATCCAGTTGACCCAAAGCTGTTCACAAACTTGTGCCGAGTTTGCTGAAGTTTTCAAGGGAACTGAAAAATGCCCTCAATGTTGAAACAAAATTAAATCGGTTTAACTTTTCAATTCACCCAAAATTCTGAAAAAATTTTCATTGTCAGTTTGACCTAGAACTATTTTTTTTTTTTAATTTGGACCTGCCAATGAACCAAAACTTCCATTATTTTGCCCAGCTCTAACACTGTGCAAACTACTGCTATGCAGCTGGCTCTGTAGAACAGGGGTGGGCAATAAAATAGCAGTGGTTCACCAGAGTTAGCCCTGGCCGCTACATTTACCTGCACCTCCACAGGTATGGACAACTGCAGCTCCTCTTGGCTGGAAACAGCGATTTGTGGCCAGCAAGAGCTGCGATTTCCCCCATACCTGCAGAGGCGCAGGTAAATGTGTTGGTGTGGGTGCCCTCCAGGGGCTAACCCTAGAAGACTGGATCCAGCCTGCAGGCCAGTATTTTCCCACCCCTGGTGTAGAACATGGCAATTAACCTATTTTCTTTTTTCCTAACCCTTTTTCTTTCCCCCTGAGATCAAGGAAGTACCTGAAATGATGATAACTCTGAGAGCTTTGCTTTCCATATCATGCAGAATATCATCACGGAGACACTTCAGCATAGAGAGTGACAAAGCATTTCTCTTCTTAGGGTTATTCAAGATAATGTGTCTGTAAAGATTTTAATAATAAAGGTCATGATCCAGTGCAACTGTTTCTGGAATCAAAGCTTTGGTCAAGGATGGGCCCTTGAAATTTGTTAGTTATATTATCAGTGCTCGGGACCCTATTCTGCTAGGCACTGTACAATTATGAAACAGACTGTCCCTGCCCTAAAGAATGTACAGCTGAATCTGGTTTTAAATTTGCCATCAGAAAGGGATTTTGACAATTTTGTTCCCTGATGGAGGCTGCCTTGTTCCTCTGTGTCAGGGATGGACCAGCTACGGAATTTGCTTATGCACACCAGATGTATTCATCATTAGAACCTTGGGAGGCCACCTCTTGGGACAGCTAGAATGTTTATTCTAGTATCACTTCTCTCCCATGGTGGCAAAGGGTAAGAGCATGACAATTTCATAAAGTGAAAGCAGGAGCCCCTGCTCTAAAGTAAATACACAATTTAATTTATAAATTCCAAGCCACACACTTTAGGGGACTTAGTGGTTATGTCCTGTACCTCATTTAGGGTCCAATCCAGCACACACTTAAAACCACGCATGATATTTGTGATTGTGAATACTCCCATTTAGTTCATCAGGACAAAACTGGTTGGTGAGCACTTTGGTGGGTAGGGTACGGGAGCCTTAGGCAATGGAGCTCCATGCAGGCACACAGATCTGTCCATGTTACAGAAGCAATTGCAGGATCCATCCCTTACATTGGTAAATCTCTGTGGCAGGGAGGCTCCCTGCTCCTCATAGCTCTGAGCAGCACCATGTACACCATGAGCTGTGTATTCAGGGTTTTATATGCCAGCAGGAAAATTCAGAAGTGCAAATATGCTGTCAAAATTAAGCCCCTCCCAGCGTGCTAGGGACTCAACAGACACATGGGAAAGGGCCAGTCTCACTCAGCTCCTGTAAACTATTTTATGCCCACATTTTAAAAGGGCTGATTGCAATACTGGCCTTGAACTGTCCCCCAGCCACCTTTCAGTTACACTCACTCATTGCGGCCAAATCTATGTGGGTCCCTCACAAAACCTGGCATCGCCCCATTACATCACTGACACCAGAGTTACGAAGAGAAACTGGGCAGAAAATTCTTTCTGCAGGACAGGGAAATGCGGCGAGTTGGGGGTGGGGTCCGGCGCGTGACCCGACACCCCTCAGGTGGGGATTACACAATCCCAGGACAGGGACGGCCCGTAGGGCACTGGGGAGCAATGGGGGGTTGCTGACGTCGCAGCGCTGGCCGCTTCCGCTGGACCCTTTGCCCGCTGCAGCTGACACGGGTGCAGCGCAGCCTCACCTGATGCCATCCAGCTGCCGCGTGCTGGTGAGTTTCTCCAGCTGTGGCTGCTGCCCGGATCCAGCTGAGGCGCCGCTGCTGAGCCTCGAAGCAACGGGGCAGCGGAAGATCCAGGAGGACCTCAGCCTCCATAATCTCAGGCTGGCAGCCAGTGCTTTTTTGGGGGAGGAGTTGCTGTGCAGTGGCTGCAGCCTTTCCGGCTCGCTGCTGACTCCTACTCTGGCAGGGCTTGGCAGGGAAGCGGGGGGAGGGGATGAATCAAGGCCTGGGGTTTAGCTTGCTACTCTGCTTCCACCTCGGCACCAACAGTAACCTGCTCCCTCTGCCTGCTCGCCTTTGCTCCAGGCACACCCAGCCTGATGCCCCCTTGCCTGCCTCTGTCGCTGCACATCAGTGCAAAAGCATTGCCATGTGGATTTAGCCATGGGCAGCGCTCATTTTGCACGGGTATGTGATTATGCATTACTGAACTGGACTCGACCCCAGATACAGTCACTGGTGTGATGCTGCTATGCAGGCTCCTAAAGCAGCAGTGACTTTCTTAATATGCCCAGTAGGGGATTAGTTGTATATTTGCAGCTGCTTATTGTATCAGGAAGGCAACTGCTGAGGTGCTCAGCATTCATGCAGAAGGAATTACTCTTTTCTTTTTTGAATAAAGTTCTGTGGTCCTTTATACCCTCAGCAAAACTGCTGGATCTGTGACATTTTGATTTTATGGGAACATAGATCTAAGCCTGCATCTCTAATTATCTTAAATGGCCTTTTGATAATGGGTAACAAATGGGCTTTGGGCTCATATCACTGATCATCCTGAAACAGAGAGAAGAAATCCTAATTTCTGAAAAATGTCTTAATTTGCAGATTGGAGCGATATTGTCTGTCTCTAGCTGAAGTTCTGAAGGAACTTTAAAAACCTAAATTAAGATTTATAGCCACCTTGTGAGACAGCCACTCAGCAATCTGATTTATTTTCCTTTTACACACAGGGAAACTGAGGCACAGAGCTGCAGTGGCTTTCCCAAGATCATATGATTTGACAACAGAACAGGGAATCAAAATCAGTTTCTTTGCACTAGTCAACACCAGGCTCCCGTAATGTGTCACTTGTGAAAATAAGACTTGCGAGAGCAAAATGATTGTGGCCTAAGTTGAGGAGTGTGGAGGGGACAAAATAATCTCACTGCTCCTATGACATAGACTTGAGCAGTTCAGACCCAATGGATTGCATTGGTACATGTGCACACTAGCCAATTTGTTAATTATACTTAACATTGCTCCTTTCCATTGAAAGATCGCAAAAGCTGTTAATTATTACAACATTCCTGTGAGCTATAGATTCAATAAATGTTAATCACTCCCATTTTACCAACAGGGTCATTCAGGGCTCAGAGATAGAAGCAACCTTCCTAAGTTCATGCAACAAGACAGTGACAGAGCCAGAGGTACAACCTATATTTCCTTCACTGCTAAATTTCGTGGGGAGGAATGTTCACATTACGAGCCAGCGTGTTGCATTACAGCTGCATTCCCCTCTGACCCAGTGGTGGATCACTAGAGCCCTGCACAGATACAAAATCTGCATCTTTTCCACATCCATGTTCACAAAAATGAGTTGCAGATATCTGCATCGACATCCAGAGATGCAGATAATTGTGGATATAAAGCAGATATCGGCAAATTTTTACATAATAATGGCCATACTGGGTCAGACCAAAGGTCCATCCACCTCAGTACCCTGTCTGCCGACAGTGGCCAATGCCAGGTGTCCCAGAGGGAGTGAATCAAACAGGTAATGATCAAGTGATCTCTCTCCTGCCATCCATTTCCACCCTCTGACAAACGGAGGCTAGGAACACCATTCCTTACCCATACTGGCTAATAGCCATTTATGGACCTAACCTCCATGAATTTATCTAGTTCTCTTTTAAACCCAGTTATAGTCCTAGCCTTCACAACCTCCTCAGGCAAGGAGTTCCACAGATTGACTATGCACTGTGTGAAGAAGAACTTCCTTTTATTTGTTTTAAACCTGCTGCCCATTAGTTTCATTTGGTGGCCCCTAGTTCTTATATTATGGGAACAAATAGGGTTCTATATTCAAAATTTATATCTGTATCTGCAAAAATGAGTCATGGATATTGCATGCATCTGTGGGTGCAGATACCCATGGATATAAAGCAGATACCCATGGAGGTGTAGGACTCCATGGATCACTCCTCTGCTGTTATGGCACGGGGCTGAGACTCAGTGGAGTCAGGTGGGCTCGGGTTGCCCTTCGTTGGCTGCCACCCCCACTTTGGTGGTGGCCCTTGGATCTGGCCCTAGGCTATATGCAGCCCTACTCCCAGAGGCTGCTGCATGGACCCTATCCGTTAGGCTATGCCAAGGGCTGTCACTTTGACTCTGACCATTGAGCTGCAGTGTTTTGAGTCCCAGAATGGTCTGGTAAAGCGTAACCAGAGTGTCACCATGCCCAAAATCCATCTCAACGGTGGATGAGGTGTGCATAAACCACCACAGGCAGGCAGACAATAAGGCTTACGTCTATAGTGCACCCTTCTTGTGCAAAAGCCTATGAAAATGAAGTGCGGATTAGCATTAGCTGCACTTAATTTGCATAATTAATTAGGGGCCATTTTTGCACAAAAGGCTTTTGCGCAAAAAAACCCTCTTGCACAAGAGCCGTTCTTCCTCATTTTTTCAGGAAGAATGGCTCTTGCACAAAAGGGGGGTTCTGCGCAAAAAGGAGCCGTTTACACAGCTCCTTTTTGTGCAAAAGCCTCTTGTGCAAAAACAGGCCCTAATTAATTATGCAAATGAAGCATGGCAATATTCTAATCTGTGCTACATTTGCATAGGCTTTTGCGCAAGAAGGGTGCAGTATAGACATATCCTAAGGGGCTGCTGATCAGCTGGAAAAGATGCTTTTGTACTCATAGAACACTGGCATTGTGCATCCCATTCTCTGTACAGCAAGGTTCTTCCATCCCCACAGATTTCTATCCTCATCTACAATCATACCAACTCACCTCATGCTGCTTACCAAACATTAAAAGAAATATTGACAAATACAAATGTTTTATGCACATGTAACTCAGAGGCACTAAAACCACTGAGAAGAAGAGAGTGAAATTTGTTCTACAGCCTTAATTGACAGGCAGTTGGCTTTTAGCTGATGCTGTCGTAGTGGCACAGGGCTTTAACCTGTAAGGTCGTGGGTTCAATCCCTCCTGCCAATGACCTAGGTCCATTGGCTCTACACAAAGTTTACCATGGTGATTGGTACAGTAGAAATAATGTACAAAGATACACACAACAAAATATGTGCATTGTGGATATGAATTATTGATTTCACTCAACTTCGTATTCAAAAAAACCTCCCTATTTCTGATAGTCTGGCTCTGGTCTTATAAAGTAGTGGCTCTCAGCCTTTCCAGACATGGTACACATTTCAGGAATATGATTCCTTTTACATACCCCAAATTTCACCTCACTTACAAACTACTTGCTTACAAAATCAGACATAAAAATACAAAAGTGTCACAGCACACTGTTACTGGAAAATTGCCAACTTTCTCATTTTTACCAGATAATTATAAATAAATTGGACTATCAATATTGTACTTACCTTTCAGTATATAGTACATAGAGAAGTATAATCAAGTCATTGTCTATATGCAATTTTAGTTTGTACT